AGGTTATTTTAGTTATTTAAATTAGTTTAAGAATCTCAACATAATAATTAGAATTCTTAAGGTATTTTATCTCTATAAGATTAATGAATTCTAGTAGAAATGAGTTAGTAGCATGAAAAATAATATAATTAATAAGTGACTAGTAGTATACAGTTGAATTACCCGAATAGTTATGCAAGACGTCGTAGTATATTTTGGTTAATACAGTGTATTGTATACTTTGTTGTAATTTGATAATTTGCAGGTGATGATGAATTTTGTTGAGATGCCTCTAATTATCGGTAAATATTAAGTTGTAGGCTTATGGCGAATGTTGAATTGTATTGAGATGTTGTTGAGTTAATGTTGTTGTTGTTACTACATTCATATTATTGTCGCATACATAACATATCAAGTTGGGAGCTCATGCTCGGTAAGTTGACCTGGATTGGAAAAATATAAAGTTGAAGGCTCATGCCTTGTTGATGCCTCTATTAATTGGTTGATTATTAAGTTAGGAGTTTTGCTCTGTTGGTATCACATGCATGTGCATAAAAATAAGTCGTATTTCATGTTGCATCCTAAGTTGTTGTGTGGATGAATTAATTATGTTAAATATTGTTAAAAAGCTGTGAAGTGGATACTTGTATGATCTGATTCTAATATATTATTTATCATACATCCGATTATATTGTTTGATATCTCACCATTTCTGTTTAAATGTTACCCCTATGTTGGTAACGTGCAGGTAATCTAGAATAAAGGTTGTTTACCTTCAGTAGTTCGAGTCGGTGTCGTTGGTCTGATACGTAGCACTCAGGGGGATGAACATATATTTTCTTTATTGCTGATTTTCATTATGTTGCTGAATTTTAAGCTGTTTTTGTTAAGTACTTGTTGTTTTGAAGTCGTTTCAGTTGGATAAAGATGTTACATCTTTTTAGGCCGAATATTATGATTCCGCTGCGTAGTTATGAAAGTTTTTGGTTTTAAAAGACTAATTTATGATGTTGTTGGTTCATCCGAGTTTAAAGTGTTATGTATCTGTGTTAAATGCTGTTTTTTAAGTTGAAAGTGTAGCATTCCATTTGTTTGTTGGAAATTTTGTAACTCTGATTTTATATAATCCGTTGGGTAGAAATGGGGTGTTACAAATTTGACATACCTTAAGTATTTCATCGACTTGACGACCATCCACGAGTAGAACTGGGGGGCACATGCTTGGTATACCTGTACTCCAAACTGAACGAAGATTTTCTTTAGACGACAAAGAAAATGGCAGGCTCCCGCACCTTGCTGACGGTAATTTCCATAATCACTATTAATTTTAAAACAATTGTTTTTACACTTATTACTAATGTTTTTTTCTTATTCATTTTCAGGGATGGATCCTAAACCACTTTCACCACATACACGGGATTGATCGTGTGCTAGAGTTTATTGAGGATTACCCATGTGCTTACATATACTGCCTGTGTAGAGAGAATGATGCTTTGCATCCATTTCGTGTGTATATTGACAAGACTCAGCATGATGACATTGACTGGACACCATACGCTACTCACTGTACACTATTCGCTTCAAACTCATTTCATATCATTTCAGATGGCTGACACGTGGAAGTAATTTAATGTATAAGTAGTTGCTAGAGCAATACATGCGTCAATTTAGACTTATGCAGATCATTATGAGACCCCCCTTCATGGCTGCTCCTATCAACATCATTTGCAGACATCTTGATGACATACTAGAAGGTTACGAGAGTCATCTGGTATCAGAGGAGTATCAGAGTGTGTCAGCCACAAGTCAATGGCATAATGTTGAGGATTACATGAATTTGTTCTATTTTGTATCACACCCTGTCATGACACCAAACGCTCATAGACGTCCATCTGTGTCTACTCATGAGGAGAACTTGGAGAATGAACTGGTCAAGGATGACCATGTCGTTGATGTGTTGCCGATCTGTCAGAATATTATATGGATTACGAGAGAGAGCATAAAGTCTGGGTTGTTTGAGAGAGGTGGCAATGTTGTTGTTGTCCTAGCACGTTCCATTCTTCTAAAGTACACAATGTCTTGGATTACTGGCAGCAAATGAGGAGCCAATGGAGTAGGATTAGTCATACGCAGTAGGTTATAATTTTTTTTAATGTATTTTCAAATGTTTTACTACTATTTTTCATACTTTGAGAACTATGTTTGTAATATTATATTTTTTAATTAATGCATTATCTTATTTTGAGATGTTAATGTTTGAATCAAATTAAGGACTAAAATAACTTTGAATTAAAAAAAAATACAAACTTATACAATGTTTCTACCAAACACGCATACAATTTTCGGAGATGCATATTCGAAATAAGGGTTTCAAAAATGCATCTCCGAATTCATCCTAGAAATATTCGCAGATACATCTCCAAACCAGATTTTAGCAAAATGCCTCCTAGTATATTCAGAGGTGTATCTTCAAGTTGCTCATTTTTCTATTCCAAATTCATATGCAACATTTAGTGTTATTAGAAGGTATTATTTTAATGGTAAAAAATGTAGATATATACTTCAAATTTTCTAAAATGAACAATGTAAGATGATTATTTTTAATTCATTAATTAGCCAGATATTTGTGTGGCCGCACGAGTTAACTTATTTGATACAATATAAAATATATTTAGATACGTATCTAAATTTAAAATTAGCTATTAATTTTAAAATAATAATGATTATATAAACTCAGTTGTATTAAAATTCAAAGAGAAAAAAAGGACTCGTGAGATGAAAAAAAAGAATATTTAATATTTGAAAATAAGGATTTTATCTTTCAAAATAAGGTAATTATTGATTAAAATAAAATATGTATTGTGCTGATAGTGACCCGTAAAGTAGAAAGTTTATTTGATACAATATAAATGTATTTATATACATATGTAAATTTGAAATGAGTTACTTTAATTGTAAAATGAAAAATAATTATGTAAACGCAAATGTATTAAATAATCACGCAAAAAGAAAAAAACTTGTGAGATGAAAAAAAATAAAATAAAAAGGATATATATATATATATATATATATATATATATATATATATATATATATATATATATACCGAAGCTAGGGGTGAAAATAAACCAGACCAATAACACGGGCCTACAGGCTAGTCTACATAGGCTCAGACCAAACCATACTATTTTTTTAAATAGAAAAGGTTTAGGCTTTTTTACAGGCCTATTTAGTTAAAAAAGTTAGACCATAGGCCGCAAAAAAAGTCTTTTAAGCCTATCAGACCTATCTATTTAAATAAATATGAATATTGTTATTATTATTATTATATGATATTTGTATTTTAAATTAAAATACAAAAATAAAATTTAATTATCTATAAGGACTTATTAAAATAAGCTGAAAAAACCTTATGAACAATGTCATAAGTTGTTTTCCTAAGTTCTCTCAAACAAACAGTATCACAAAACATGTGTTAATAGGTAATCTCGAATAAGTCAATGCAAATAAGTATTTAGTCTAATTGATCTTTTAATTTGTTAGTCTATTTAACAAAGGTTCAAATAAAATAGACTTTTATGTAGGCTAATAGGCCAATCAGGCATTCGAAAAGGCCAAACTCCGGCCTAAAAATAAGTCTTTAATAGGCCACATGCCAGACTTATGCTTTGAAATTTTTAGCAGGCTAGACTCAGGCTTGACAAAGCCTAACTCGGCCCAACCTATTTCCACCCCTAGCTGAAGCCCAAAGAGAAGAAAACTACACAAAAATTAACCTAGAATAAGACACTCCTAAATTGTCATCCATAAGTAATGAATTAAGATAACTACGGGCGTGGTGATACCCCACATAATTGGAATCTAACAAGCACCTTCACTTGCTAGAATATCAGCGCACTTGTTTGCTTCTCGAAACACATGACTCACTCGCACATCTTCATGGAGATCAATCAATTTTTTAATTTGATGTAAAATTGCATGACCTTCAAAAGTGCCTGTTGAACCTTTGTTAATAACATTCACCACTGCCATATAATCCACATTAAGCTCCACTTTCATCTTTCGTAGGTTGAGAGTATAGTTAAAACCTTCAAACACATCCATAATTCAACTAGATTCTTTGATATTTTGAAATAAGGATTTTGTCTTTCAAATCAAGATAAATTATTGATTAAAATAAAATATATATTGTCTTGATAATGACTCGTGAGATAAAAAGAATTACATTAAATATATTTAGAAACAAATGTAAAATTTGAAATGATTTACTTAATTGTAAATTGAACAATAATCATATACCTTTAATTGTATTAAATAATTATATCAAAAGAAAGAAATCGTGCGGTGGCGAAAGAAAAAATTTAATATTTAAAATTAAAGATTTTGTCTCTTAAAGTAAAGAAATAGTTGATTAAAATAAAATAGATATTAGGTTAATAGTGATCGGTAAGATAAATAATTTTTTTATTTTATTAAAATTAGAAAAATAAATTATTAGTATTTTAATGATAATAAATAAATAGAAAAAAAATAAAAAAGTGAGAAAAAATGTAGAAAAATTTAAAATTTTAATTAAGAAAGATAAGTGTATGTGTTATTTAATTATGCAGAGCGTTGAAAAATGAATATACATATCAATCTTAGAAATAGTTAAATATAAGATTAAATATATATATTTTTCTTATAAATTATTAAATTTTGTTTTTGGTTCCTATAAAAAAATATGATATGTTTTAAGTTTTATAGTATTATTATGCATGAGTTTTAGTCTTTGTCGATAAATCAATGTGTATTTTTGAATAATTATTTTGTAAATATATTTAAAATGTTATAAAAAATTTTGAAGAAAAAAAAATTAATTTTTAAGTTGAAATTTTAGTTAATTTTATCAATATATTTTAAAAAGTAAGAATAATTCATAAAATATTAAGGGTAAAATGGTAATTAAGTTGTAAAACCTGAATAGTGGCGAAGAAGCGAGGAAGAGCAGTGAGAGAAAAAACTGTGTTTGAAGAAGGAGGATGAAGTCTGCGCTTACACCTTGTAACAACTGGAACCGCTGCTTCATTCATCCAACCACCACCAAACCCTTCTCCTTCTCCCTCACCAACACCGATTTTCGCACACGCTGTTCAATCTCCATGGCCAACACCATCAAAACCTACCACTTATCAAACCTCACTTACACCGAACTTAACTCCCTTAAATCTCGCCCTCGAATTGATTTCACTTCCATTTTCAACGTTGTAAGTTCTCTCCCCTTTTCTCCCAATTGGGTTTTCTTTTTCACTCTAAAAATCGTTCCTTTTTGTCTTTTCAGGTTAATCCCATTGTTGATGATGTTCATAATCAAGGAGATGCTGCTGTTAAACAGTTGATACTTCTATTATATATTTTAATTTGATAATGTTTTATCCATGCTCTTGTTTGATTTGCCTTTTTTTAACTTCATTTTTTGTGTTTTTTTTTTGTTGTAGATATACTTCTAGGTTTGACAAAGTTGATCTAGATAAGATTGTTGAACTTGTCTCTGACCTACCAGACCCAGTGGTATACTATTTCTTTGCAATTCTTCAACTTGTGTTAACTTGTCCTGTGTTGTACTCTTATTATGATCATGTTATTTGAACATCAATTTGGGACAATGTTCTAATGGTTAATGCAATTCAATAAGTGGTTAATGTGATTATCAAGACTAGATAATTCATTAACCATCTGTTGAACTTAATTAAACACGTATTTGAACATTATTAGCAGCGATTTTAGGTCTTTCAACTATATGTAGATTTGAACTTTTTAAAATTAAGAATTATCACATTTAAATTTGTGGTTCACAAATCTATGTGTATCTCCTAGGTCTATGAATGTAGTTTTTAAGAGAATTGATTTTGCCATCCAAAAAGGAGTAGCGGGTTGCCCGTTTGTCTTCTATTTCTGGATAAACTTTATTATATTGAAATAGATCAAATTCTGTTGATGGTTAATGACTTGTGATACCTGATATATCTATTAACCAAATATGACACTTGATTGACTACACGTGTGAGCTATGTTACCCCGTTTAAAAAGTTGTTTTCTTGTTTTTCTGTCTTTTTGCAGCTTGATCCATCTATTAAGGAAGCGTTTGATGTCGCCTACAGCAATATTTATGCATTTCATGCTGCTCAGAAGTCACCTGAGAAAAGTGTTGAGAACATGAAAGTATGTTGACACTGATTCTCACTGTTTTATGCTCTAGTTGGAACAATAGGCTTGATGGTTCTAGACTGAATTGGAACTTAGTTTAAGCACGCTGTTATGGATAATTAAGTTATAATTTGAAATATTCAGTGGTTAGACATCACTATATTGTTGCTATTGCATTAGTTGTGTGTTGGGGTTTGAATTTGTGAATCTAGCAATGTTGAAAGCAGTTGGTTGCGTCATTATCTAGCAATGTTGTTAAATAGCGGCTATAGCAGTGTTTTAGCGTAGTAGAATTTAAACAAAAACACGATTGCTCTACAATACCCTATTAGTATTTAGAACGAAATGTTGTCAAATAGCAGTTACGACAACACTCCAGCACGGCAGTGTAGCTGGATTTGAACAAAGTGCTATTTTCTAGAAACCATCAATGACAACACTGTTATTCTAGGAATAAGTAAATAATACCAAAAAGATCAAATCAGTAGGTTATTTGTCCAGTTGTGATCATATGGTTTTTGAATTCTCATTTTTCCAATGTATTTGTCAATAATTTGTTCTTCATTTCATTACCATGCTTGTTCATTATCTTAGTATTCCCCGATAATATCTTACTTATGCGAGTCTTGAGTTTTCCAAAACTTCAGGGAGTCCAATGCAAGAGAGTTGCAAGAAGTATTAATTCCGTGGGTCTTTATGTTCCAGGGGGAACTGCTGTATTGCCTTCAACAGCTTTGATGCTTGCAGTTGTAAGTTGAATGCATGTTTCATTGCTTCATTTGTTGCTCAATGTTCTATAATTTTATGCGTCCAGATTTAGCTGAATATACATTGTTTTGTATACCAGCCTGCACAAATTGCAGGATGTAAAACTATTGTTCTTGCAAATCCTCCCACCCAGGATGGCTCAACATGCAAGGTATTTGTCTATATCATATAAATTTATAATAATTATGATGCAGTGATAGGATCAATTTAGTATCTAAGTACAGAAATAGGAAGTACAGCAGAATAAAAGTGGAAAGTAGTTATTTTTATTGATAATTACTAGAGTTCATATGGGATCTAGTAGTACAAACAAAAGCAGAAAGTTGCAGGAAAGTAGAAAATGATAAAGAGGCTCTTAGAGAGGCCTTTTCTCTCCCATGAGAATATTCTCACTAGATTACTGCGTACCTTCAAAAGAGTCAGTCACCAATCATTTATTCCCCACTCCTAGGATTCTCTTACCACTCAAAGGCTGCCAGCTGTATCAGCCCATGTGCAGCACTAACCAACAATTTTGTCCTATTCTCTCTCCTTCCCTTTCTTACGTTTCCTAGCATAGAATTTGCCATATCTACCATGCAATGTTTTGTTCTTTTTTAGTTTGACTGACATTTTTCTCTGCAGGAGGTTCTATATTGTGCGAAGAAGGCTGGGGTGACTCACATTCTCAAAGCTGGAGGAGCACAGGTTTGTTGCATGATAATATACTATAAACTTTTTCTTGTTTTGTGATTTGAATAATTTATCTTTTTAGTTGGGTTAAATTTTATGTGTCACTGTATTTTTAATTAAAACAATTATTAATTTGTCATTTTTCTCAATTGTAGGCCATATCTGCTATGGCTTGGGGAACAGAAACTTGTCCCAAGGTTCGGCTTCTCGTTTAACTCATCTTTCTTGTTGCCATCTCTATTAGTATTTATCATGTTCAGCTTTATATTTTGTATTATTTTTATTATTTTATTGCGTATTAGTATGCCACATTCTTATAGAACTGCAAACTCATGATTATATGTGGTGAAATTTATCTAGTGATAGTACTCGAACTTCTCACTCCTTACTGATAAGTTAAATGTCTTGACTCTTGACGTGTTCTTCTTAGTTTATGGTTAACTAACGGTAACATAAATCTCGCTGCTTAATGAATGCACGGCGACCAAGATACCTAAAATGTGTACCATGTCAAGTGTTTGTGTCGGAGTCTATGTTTCTTAGGTGAATTCTAATCCTAATAGTAATAAATACTAGAATCTAATTCTTTCATTCTAACAGCATTCATAGTTCATATATTTTTATCATTTCTAATTGTGCATTTGTGATGAACTTTTGCAGGTTGAGAAGATTTTTGGCCCTGGAAATCAATATGTCACAGCTGCAAAAATGATACTTCAAGTAAGCGTGTTTATATTTTACATTTGAATCTCTTGATTTGTATCCACATCCTCTATATAGCATTTCATTGTTTGAATCTAAAAGCATCTTTCCATTTTTTTTATTTTTAAATTCTTCCTGCAGAACAGTGAAGCCATGGTTTCAATTGACATGCCAGCTGGTCCATCTGAAGTTTTAGTCATTGCAGACAAGCATGCAATTCCATCTCATGTAGCTGCTGATTTGCTTTCCCAGGTTTAATGTGTTTTAAACTCTACTATTTGGTTTACAAACACTATTCACTAACTTATTTTCACAATAAAACTTGTTATCTTTTTCATTCTCTTAGAAAACTATACTCGTACTTTAGTGTAGTTTATACATTTTTCTAAAAAGCTTCTATCTCCATTTTCGGCTTCCTTGTATATTGCTAATATCATAAAACTTAACTTACAATTTCAGGCTGAGCATGGCCCTGATAGTCAGGTTGTTCTCGTGATTGCTGGAGATGGTGTGGATCAGAGTGCAATTCAGGAGGAACTCAGCAAACAGTGTCAGAGTCTTCCAAGAGGCGAATTTGCCGCGAAAGCACTGAGCCACAGTTTTATCGTGCATGCACGTGATATGCTTGAGGTCAGTCCTTAAGTCCAAGTTTATGTCTGTGAGCACAAGCATGTTGATGAGTTAGGCTTTGTTTTGATAAGTAGCTTAATTAAACACTTATCACATAACTACTTACCATATAAGTGCTTATTGCATAAGCTTTCTATAACAAAAGATAAAATAAAGTCAACTGTTTTCACTTAAGCTTTTAGTTGTTTTCATAAGCTATTATGGAGAGCTTATGGAGATAAGCTGAAAATAGTTTATAGACATATCGTAAGCTCTCTTGAGCAATCTCACAAGTGCTTACCTCAGTGGATAGCCGAGATCAGCCGAGTAATACAAAATAAAAACACATGCTACAATAAAATTATCTATCGATATACTAGTTCCTTACTACCTTTGGAGGAGTTTAAAATTATCGTTGTATTTTTGTTTGTTTACAATCAATGAAACATTTTATACATTAAAAGTACTACTTCTTTAGCTTGTCAAGTCTCGGTCTATCGACATCTATATTGGAGTTTCAGAAGTAAAAGTTACTTTTGCATCTTCTAGGCCATTACTTTCTCAAACATGTACGCACCTGAGCATTTAATTATCAACGTGAAAGACGCAGAGAAGTGGGAGAGTTTTATCGAGAATGCAGGTAATACAGTCTATGTAGTCTTCTTTTCTTGGTGCCTTTTATGCTTCTGCATTCTGAATTCTTGTTAGATAACCACAATATGTCTCCTTGATGGCGATTCAATTGCCTATGCAGGTTCTGTGTTTTTAGGGCCGTGGACACCAGAGAGTGTCGGTGATTACGCAAGTGGGACAAACCACGTCCTTCCCACTTATGGATATGCAAGAATGTATAGCGGTGTGTCATTGGACTCTTTCCTCAAGTACATAACTGTGCAATCTCTCACAGAGGAAGGTCTAAGAAAACTTGGACCATATGTAGAAACCATGGCTGAAGTTGAAGGACTTGAAGCACACAAGCGAGCCGTTACTTTGAGACTTCAGGACATAGAAGCCAGACAGGTTTCAAGATGATTCCATCAATCCTTTGCAAGATGTTATCAGCTCTAATTTTATGCCAACTTTTGAGCCGTTTTGATATATGATATTTCCTATATGGCTTGATTTATGTAACATTAGTAGCTAAATAGTTGTCATTCTACATCTTTGTAACAATAGCTGCATTTATATGCTATAATATTAAATAATAATGTCCACTTGGTCCCTTTTTGGTTGTTATATCTAAATATATATGCTTGGGATGGAGTCATTTCTTCCTACAAGAGATGTCTGAAATTCAGTCAAATCAAGGCTAGTTAATTTTGCAATTGTATGAATAATAATATTTATGACATGTACAATGCACAAGTAGATGAGTTGTTTGTAAATTGTTTTGCATATATGGGTTACTTTCCCTTGCAACAACTTTACTCAATAAGAATGCCCTCAAATAATAATTTGTGAACCTATTTCCTTCTTGAGAATGTGAGCATACATTACTCAAACTAGGGGGATACCCGTGTGTTTGCACGGGTACTGATATGGTATGCACATTTATGATATGCACATTTGTTTTCAAATTGAAATAAAAAAACAAAATTATTTAACCAATAAAATGCATTGTTTAAAAAAAAAATGATAAAGTTTAGATAAAGTTAAAGCAAAAAATTGCCAACTTCACTTTGTGTAACTTAAAAGTTCAGAGCAAAACTAACTCTCAAATTTCAAAACATAAATTCAAATAAATTGCTTCTTACAATTGCCAGATAAACAAAAGTGGGTAAAAATGAAATTGCTTCACCAAATGATTTTCAGCTGCCAGCCTATCTAAAAGACAGTCATGTTGTAACCACCTTCCAAACTCATAAAGACACCTGGGACTGCTGAAATGGTGTTGACATTGAAATCCCAGTTACAGGAGTCGGGATCAAAGACATGATACAATGGTCCTTTTTAGCCTTAGCCCCCATATTAGTCTTCTTGGCATTAGATTTCTTAGTTACACCTGAATCATTCCTAGGTGGTTGTTGTTGTTGATGTTGCTTCGAAACAGAAGGTATTGGCACTGAAGGCACAAATCTACCTGAGTCATAATGAGCCTGAAAGTTTAAGAAAATATAATCAGCCAAAAACTTTTTATGAAAAGTGAAAACACATGAAGCAAGCTAACTTCATGTAGACAAAACTTCCTATGAGCTCCTCTTTCAGATTCATTTCCAAAGACAGTATATATTCATACCACTCCTTTAGGCAATTTGGAAGTGGCCCTAACTCCATCCAAAATTATACAAAAATATGGACATAAGGTAGAATTTTGGATAATTTATATATATCCAAAAAATATATATAAATCCTTACCGCCACATGGACTTATATATATCATAGTTCAGTTATAAATCCTTAGCGCTAACTCCATCCACAATAACAAGAGTCAATGTCGCAGTTCTCAGCTGCCAAGGATTTATAAAGATATATATAAGTAATCATTCAACACATTATGATTTGTAACTGAACTACTGCACTTTGTGGATAAACAGAAGTTTCGCAAATACCATAAGGATTCTTTGATCAATGATAGCAAAACAGGCTCCTCGGGCGAATCATCATAGCTCATATACTGCTGGTCATTTCTGGATGCAGATGTCACAAACTTGGTGCTAAAATTGTTTGAATATTTTTGTTTCATGTTGGCTTTACAAATCTGTCAATACAAAGCATGTAATTGGAAAGGATAAATAACCACTACAAACACATTCACAAGTCCATATACCGAAGGCGGGGAAAATACAGAGAGGTGTGGAAATAATTACCATTTGTGGTGTAACAGAACCATCTTTGTGGTAATAACCAATTCTCGCTGGAAGCTTTGATGGTAGAAAAAAAGTACCTTGATGAAGGAAACCTACAATATTCGAAGAAAATGCAGTTAAACAGGAACAAAACGAAGGCATGTATCCATGTTCAAAGATTATTCGATATCCATGTTCCAATATGTTGAATTTAAAAATTTAGTCCCACATTGTTAGAATTTTTTTTGTGGTTGAAAAACTATTTAATCTCACATTGCTCATGTCAGAAATATTAACTAGCTTATCTCACTATTAACTAGTTTTTCCTTCCTCACCCTCGTAACACCGTGGCTTTTGAATTGTCGAAGCGTCAACTCCTTCCCTTTTCTTTCTACTCGTTGAATTTTTTAAAATATTTTTTTTGAATTCTAGAACTATGTTAATTTCTCCTCATTTGAGTTAAGAAATTTTCGAGTTGAAGTTCTCTTTGTTGGAGAAATTATTATGAATGGTCAAATGACCATTATTAAATTCTCTTTGGAGAATTATTTGAATTTCTTTTTGTTTGAGAAATTATTATGACTGGTCTTTGTACCAGATACTACGAGTGGTGTTGATACCATATTAGAATTGTCTTGTACCACCAGAGAGTGTATTTTTAGACCGATTATCTACCGTGCAAGTAGTAATCGTACAATATAGAACTGGGCGGCACGGTAGTTCAACTGCTTTGCATAATTTTGAGCAGTGTTGCGAAACGTCTTAGAGAGAGCGAACTAGTTCACGACTCAACCCAGTAATTTCTTTAGTGGCAAATATTTCAAAATCCGAAAACAACAATTTTAAGACGATTCAAACTGTCATGACTACTGAAGAAATTATTAGTACTTCCAAGATTGTCTCGGACAAACCGTTCAAGTTTGAAGGAGTGCATTTCAAATGTTGACAACAAAAGTGAGGTTTATCTTAACCATAAAGAAGGTTGTCAATATTTTGACCGATGATATTCCTACGATTCCATTTGGATCAATCGAACAAACGAATAGAAAGAAATCTATGAACTCAGATTGAATTGTTAATTTCAGTGAATCTGAATTTACAACATAGATTAAAACGAAAGATTTACAACTAAGAGAAGAAATCTCCTTATAGAAAGAGAATGATTATAACATTCTGAATGAACTCCCAAATGATCTATATGACTATTACAATAACTGTGATACTCTAAAACAGGTATATGAGGCTCTGAAAAACAAGTATTGACATTGAAGAAGCTGGAGAACAGAAGAATGATTTTAGCAGCTACGTGAAGTATCAGATGGTGGATGAAAGGTCTATGGAGACCCAAAGTCACGAAATTCGAAAGATTTCTCATGAGGTCATCACTAAAGGTATGTATTTATATGAACAATTTTAAATTGCTTCTATGATTGACAAATTGTTCCATAGTTAGAAAATTTTGCTTTGCTATGACACAAAAGAATTTTTTAACTGAAACTCTGATTATTCGCCTTTGAATTGAAGAAGAGTCTCAGAAACAAGATAAAAAAAAGTCTTGGTTGTTTAAACAACAAAAAGAAATTAAGTGCAGTTCTGAAGCCATATGACAAACCAGTAAAGAATCAGAACTGCAATATTGTGAACTGAATTAATAATGGGAATCCTTATATGGCCCCAATTGCTCCAACTAGGCAACAACCACCACCTCAAAGAAATGGTGTTGGTTTCCCTTTATTTTTAATTATGAAAAATTAAGTCATATGGCTAAGAGATGTAGAAGCAGCCTTAAACCTGGTGATGTCTCTAATGCACAAGTTAACCCGATTAATGGGCAATTTATTGCTATGATTATTGAAATCAACATGGTTGATGAATTTCATGGTTGGTGGATAGAATTGGCGTCTCTCGCCATGTCTGTTATGATCGTGTTATGTTTAAAACATACACGAATACACCACTAATGTTGCTGGAATTGGAGACATGGAGTTGAATTTCACCTCCAAAAATACTTTAATCTCGTAGGACGTCATGCATGTTCCTGAGATTAGGAAGAATCTTGTTTCTGGTTTTCTTTTAAATAAGACAAGATTTAGTTAGTCTATTAGAGTAGATTTGTACACCATTTACGAAGAATGATACCTTTGTGAATGAAATTGCTATGTTTAAAAACTTTGTGTCGACTTTGAAAATGGTTTAGTAAGAATTTGTAGTGATAACGAAATTGTATGATTCTAGTCTATTTAATGATTTTTATAAACAATATGGAATTATATATGAAACGACTGCACCTACTTTCCTGAAATGAATGGTAAAATAGAAAGAAAGAATAGAACTCTTACTGAACTTGTTGTTGCAATTATGTTGAATTCTAGTGTTGCACCTCACTGGTGGGGGAATTTTGCTAATTGTTTTCTATGTCTTGAATTGAGTTTCCAAGTAAAAAGTAAGATCCCACCTTATGAGATATTAAATAAAAGACAACCAAACTTGCCTTATTTAAGAACTTGGGGCTATTTAGCTTAAGTCAGAATTTCGAATCCGAAGAGAGTTAAACTCGCTAGTAGAGCATATGAATATGTATTCGTTGGGTATGCAGCAAACAATAAGGCATATAAGTTTTAAGACCTAAATGATAAAGTGATCATAAAATCAAATGATGTTGAATTCTATGAAGGTAGAATTCCTTTCAAATCGAGAAACAGTGGGGGCACTGAATCGAATCATATTTCTGTGATAAGAAACACTGAAAGCAAATACGAAGTAGAAACTGAACTTTGACGAAGTAAAAGGGTAAGAGTTGCCAAAGACTATGGGTCCGATTATGTGGCTCATAATGTAGATGAAGATCCAATAAATCTTCAAGAATCCTTGTCATCTCTGGATGCAGATTTATGACAAGTAGCTATTAATGATGAGATAGAATCTCTAGAATCTAACAAGACCTGACACTTAGTAGAATTTCTTCTTGATTGCAAACCAAGCTGTTGTAAATGGGTTTTGAAAAAAAAACTAAAACCTGATGGGAAATTGATAAGTACAAGGCTTTCTTTGTAGCCAAACGTTTTAGGAAAAGAGAAAATATATATTTCTTCGATACATTTGCCCAGCCACTCAAATTACATCCATTAGGATACTAATTTCAATAGTCGATATTTATAACGTAATAGTACACCAAATGGAAGTTAAAATAATATTTTTAAACGTTGACTTAGAAGAAGAAATCTATATGGACCAATCGAAAGGGTCTGAGATTCTTGAGGCAAGAAAACAAGGTCTGTAAGTTAGATAAGTCTTTGTATGGGATAAAACAAGCTCCAAAAAATGGCATGAAAAGTTTGATAACTTAATGATATCGAATGGGTACAAAGTGAATGAAAGTGACAAATACGTTTATTACAAATTTGAGAATCACATTTGCACTATCAGATGTCTATATGTAGACGATCTACCCATATTTGGATCAAATACTCATGTCATTGTTGGTATGAAATCATTGTTGTGCAATAACTTTGATATGAAAGACCTCGGAGAAGCGAGTGTGATTCTTGATATCAAGATCACGAGATCCGAGCAAAGAATTTCTTTGGATCAACCACATTATGTGGAAAAGATCTTAAAGAAATATAATTACTTTGACAGTAAATCTGTGAGCACACCATACGATCCAAACGTGAAGCTGTTTAAGAATACTAGTGAAAGTGTTAGACAAACATAATATACGAGCATCATTAGAAGTCTTAGGTATTCCATTGATTATACTAGACCCGACATTGCATATGTCGTGAGATTTTTGTGTAGGTTTACTAGTAGACCGAGTAATAAACATTGACAAGCTATTGAGCGAGTCATGTGGTACCTTAAAAGGACCATGAATATCAGTTTACATTATCAGAGATTTCCTGTTGTACTTGAAGGATACAATGATGCAGATTGTAATACCTTATCATATGATTCTAAAGCAACTAGTGACTATGTATTCCATGCTAGAGGAGTTGTGTCTTGGAAATCAAAGAAACAGATATCCTGACTCAGTTCACGATAGAGTCTGAGATGATAAGATTAGCGACTTATAGTGAAGAAGCAAGTTGGTTAAGATGCTTGCTAACTGAGATTCCCTTATTGGAAAAACCTATGTCAGCTGTGTTGATCCACTGCGATAGTACCACGACTATTGTAAAAATTGAGAACCGTTATTATAATGGTAAAATACGTCAAATTAGAAGAAATTACATCACTGTTAGAGATTGTATCTCTAAAGGAGCTGTAAGAGCACTGGTGAAAATTTAGCAGATCCTTTGACGAAAGGATTAGCTAGAGAGAAAGTCTATAATACATCATATAAGATGAGACTAATGCCTATAGGAATATGAGTTTCTCATGATGGTAACCCGACCTAAATGATTGGAGATCCCAAGAAATAGGTTCAATGGGTAATAATAAGTTGTGAGTAATATGAGGTGATCATGCTAATGTGAATACGAGAAGCATGAATCTCGAAGTGATAAGAGGATGATATAATAGAAACTCTTAATGAGATCTATACTCTGTATGAGAGAGTACATAGGATACATGAATACTCTTGATAGACTCACCCATGTGATTGTGGAACTTAGGCTGGTTCCTATGAAATTTCGAGGAAGAATTCCTAGAGTCTTCACTAACTGGGATACACGTGCAGAGCCATTAAAGCACAGACTATTAGAATACACCTTAAGAAAAGGTTGTGTGCGGGTTTGATGTCTGAGATAGAGTTCAAAACATTTGTGTCACTCTTGTTGAATCAAAATCTTACTTGCTACGCAAAGGTTCAAGTCGTAGACACCTTTGTTTATGTACAATCTTAGAAATGTCTGACGCTACTTCTAAAATCACTTATTTAAATTTAAGTGGGGGATTGTTGGAATATGTCCATGTTCCAATATGTTGAATTTAAAAATTTCTTAAGTCCCACATTGTTAAAAAAAATTTGTGGTTGAAAAACCATTTAGTCTCACATTACTCATGTGAGAAATATTAACTAACTTACCTCACTATATAAGGAGTGCACATGTTTAATTTCAAATCACACCAAAAACCTCACTCTCATTACACTGGGTCTTTCGAATTGTCGAAGCGCCAACTTCTTACTCTTTCTTTCTACTCGTTGAATTTTTCAAGTTTTTTTCTTGAATTCTCTTCAGAGAATTATTTTAATTTCTCCTCATTTGAGTTGAGAAATTTTAAAGTTTAATTTTTTGGATTCTCTTTAGAGAATTATTTAAAGTTCTCTTTGTTCGAGAAATTATTATGAGTGGTCAAATGACCATTATTAAATTCTCTTTGGAGAATTATTTGAGTTTCTCTTTGTTTGAGAAATTATTATGATTAGTCTTTATACCAGATGTTTTATCCTGGAGGCGACATGGTAATTTGACGGTTTTGCATAATTTTGAACAATACTGCAAAACGTCTGAAAGAGAGCGACCTAGTCTGCGATTCAACCCGATAATTTCTTCGGTGGAAAATATTTCAAAATCTTAAAACAACATAAAATCAATTACAACCTAATCTAAAAATAAAATCAATTCAAAGACCGCGGATTATCATTATGTGTATAGCCACAACCAGTGGCCCGAAAATCATAAAGGAGTTAATTCCTTTAAAGCTTCAGCACCGTATTTTACATTAACAACAAGGTAGAGAGGAACATTGCGGATTGAAGATACATTAGACACATAAAAGCATTATTGTGCAATCAACGCCAATTGCATTATTTAAAATGCAAGAAAAGTTGAACAATGGTCCATAAGCTAGTTAGAGCATATATTGACTAAACAGTAAGCAAGTCATGAATGATATTATAAATTAAAAATACAATTTGAAAACACAAGGTTAATAATAACCATTTAAACGAAACTCTCTGAGAATTTTTCCCGATGACTCTCATCTCATTGCTTGAACTACATCTTGGACTTCCTGAATGAACTCGACCTCACGAGGATCCATTTTTCGTAAAACCAAGGGACTGTGATACTTACCCGTGGTCCAAACTCAAGGCACACATCTTTATACCCTCCCGTGATGAGGATTCATACTTACTTGAAGAAATATTATATCAGAAGTAAATGCAGCCACATACCTGCAATGCAAACCATGCACAGATTATTTACTATACAAATTTTAACGTAAAATTAACACTTTCAAAGATATGCAGTACCCCATGCAAGGCCTGATCATGTGACAACGTTCCCTTTGAGCTAAACCACAATCTCAAACTGCACTCAAATTTAAAATAAAACCAGTCACGGAACAATATCTCTATTGGCCAAGGAATGTATTCAGATGTAGAAAATTTCATTCAATTTCTCAATGCCGACATTGGAACAAAATCCTTGCATAAATAAAACAGAACAATGAAGTTATCTAGAATTTTTCAGACTATGCAAGTCTAACCACTTTTTAAAAGACAACATAAAAAATTATGAGCAGACTTACAGTGCCATTGCAATCAGCCCAGTAAATTTCACCATAAGAACCTACAAGCACACTTCTGCTAAGTTACATTTGCAGGGTTGCATCACAAGCAGAGAAATAGCAGGCAGCATATTTTCAACCAGTTTTTACTCAATCTCTATTAATTCAATCCACTATATCAAATAATAGTGGCATCTAAATAATTCCAAGTTGCTTTGAGTAACAATGATCTATACAAAATTAATAAGTTTTCAATGATCTCATTGCAAGATATTTATTCAGACCCTGAGCTTTTATATAACTTTAAATCCAAAAATCATATTTAAAGCCTGGGAATAAACTCACCAATACAAATATGCTCGCCGACACGAAGATCCTCCCATTGAATTTCCCATTGTGTGTCTTCACCAAGTATTGGGTGAACTTTCTTACCTTTACCATCATCATGTAGGATACAATCTCCATCAACTGTCTCGTTTATTTGATGGCTACATTAGTAGATAAAGTAACTAAAATCCAAGAGGATCAAAGTAAGTATAAGATGCAATTAATGAACTCTCCATTAGTCTGCAATAAAGTAAACAATTGTTTCAACAAAAGCCAAATCACATGTAGTTGCTACTGAAAGCTATTTGTATACTTGCTTCCACCCAGGTCTTGATCTGCAAACTCATTTCAGACAATACTCGTGCACGAAAATCGTAAAAAAAATGAGACCAAAGCACAACATACCCAGCGGATTTTCTCGAGCTTATAGACTGATCTCCACTTGAGTGTGTCTTACAAAATCTTTTTGGACTTGTCAACATTCCAGTTGCGAGCTTCTAGGTATCGCCTCAAACAAGCATCATTGCAGTACTTCAATTTGTTTCCGGATAAGGGTTCAATTGCAACCTTGAGCTGTTTTATCTGGTTGTAAAATTTCAATATTCAGAAAATCAGAACCATGATGCAAAATTGATTTTGATGACATGTTTAAATATTTTGGAGAAAATTATTTCTCTCTTCAGAATCGATTCTAACTTTTTTCCTCTACAAACACAGATTTATTATTCAACTCGCCTTTACTCAAAAGCATCAAAGAATAAAATTCATCCAACATTTTCAGTTTTTTCATTACTCTGATATACTCCGGGATCTCTCATATAATCGAGCATCTTCTCAAAATTCTGCATTACGATGTCCGAGTAAAAATATAAGTCAGCGTAGACAAAATTAAAACAGGTTAGTTAGCTTCTCTTCTCCTATGAAAAAGAATTGAAGTTGTTCTAATATATTTAATGGGAGAGGCATACCTCAGCTATTGAAGAAGCTATTGCAACTGTTGCTTGAGTTTTATGAGAAAGTTCACGCAAGAAACGATCAAAATCGATCCAGATACGGCCAAACTCGATCCAGATTACAAGATACAAGATCTTTCATGTGGATCTCAGGTTCGATGAATTCCATCTCGTCCATTCCTTCACCAGTGTACCAATGCAAGAAAGCCTTTCTCCTAAACATAGCAGTGAATTATTCACTCACCCCTCTGAACATTTCCTGAATTGAGGCGATATCAACTGCATCACAAAAAATCAAACAACAATATCAAAAACATTATTAACAAATTCAACAAAACTGAACTCATAGAGAGATTAAAACAATTGTTAAAATAGGGTACAAAATTGCTTACAGCCGGGGGGTTGTGAGCTTGAGGGTACGGAAGCAAATAACATACATCGCTTATGTAGAAACCGGATTTTTAAAAGATGACACAAAGGAAAAGTATCGGGACATGTCGCGTACTAGGTCGTTTTCTTTAAGACGTTTCGTCGTACTGTCAATATTAATGCAAAGCAGTCGAGTTTCGACGACGCCTCCAGGATAAAACAACCCGTTCAATTACGACAATTACTTGCACTATAATTAGCCAGTCTTGTTAATTAACCAGTCTTCGGATGACATCTTCGGATGGTAATTAACCAGTCTTAGTATCTGTATACGAAGTGATCCAGTCGAAAATAAGAGAGAAGAAAATTATAGATGAAGTGAGTGATGAGAGAAGAGAGAAGAATTGTAGAAGTAAATTCTGAAACTGCCCAAATGAACCGAAACAACTTAATTTATAAGTGAAAAGGTCCAACTGAATGGAACAGGTCTAATGAGAGAAAATAGTGGGAGAGGTGGAATTGGCCCAGTCAATAACCAATGAATAATTAGGTTAAGACTTGGTCTTTTGGAGGGCAAGCAAAAACCAGTCAATAATTAGGTTAAGACTTGGTCTTTTGTGCATGACACGTCACCATCTATTAATTAATTAATAATAATATTAATATTAATTAATTTCCACTCTTTTGGGACTAAAATGAATCTTTTCAAATTCATATACCAAGATTTCCAACAATCCCCCACTTGAATTTAAAAGGTAATTTTTTTAGAAGTACGTCAAACGTTTCTAAGGTTGTGCATAAGCAAAGGTGTCTACGACTTGAACCTTTGCATAGCAAGTAGGATTCTGATTCAACAAGAGTGACACTATTGTCTTGAACTCTATCTCAGACATCAGACCCGCACACAACCTTTTCTTAAGGTGTATTCTAATAGCCCGTGCTTTAATGGCTCTGCACGTATATCCCGGTTTAGTGAAGGCTCTAGAAATCCTGCCTCGTAATTCCATAGGAACCGGCCTAAGTTCCACAATCACATAGGTGAGTCTATCAAGAGTACTCATGTAGCCTAGGTACTCCCTCATACAGAGTATAGATCTCATTAAGAGTTTCTATTATCTCATCCTCTTATTACTTCAGGATTCATGCTTTACTTGCATGATCATCTCATATTACTCATAACTTGTTATTACCCATTGAACCTATTTCTTGGGATCTCCAGTCATCTAGGTCGGGTTACCATTATGAGCAACTCATTTCTTTATAGGCATTAGTCCCATCCTTTTGGATGTATTATGGACTTTCTCTCTAGCTAATCCTTTCGTCAAAGGATCTGCTAAATTTTTATCAGTGCGTATATGATCCACTCTTACAGCTCCTTTAGAGATACAGTCTCTAACAGTGCTGTGCTTTCTTCTTATTTGACGTCTTTTACCGTTATAATAACGGTTCTCAATTTTCGCAATAGCCGCGGTACTATCGCAGTGGATCAACACAGCTGACATAGGTTTTTCCCATAAAGGGATCTCAGCTAGCAAGCATCTCAACCAACGTGCTTCTTCACTAGCTGTGGCTAGTGCTATCATCTCAGATTCCATTGTGGACTGAGCTAGAATAGTTTGTTTCTTTAATTTCCAAGATACAGCTCCTCCAGCTATGCTAAATATATAGCCACTAGTAGCTTTGGAATCATCTGACAAAGTATTCCAATCTGCATCACTGTACCCTTCTAGTACAGCAGGAAACTTCTGATAATGTAGGCCGAGATCCATGGTCCTTTTGAGGTACCTCATGACTCGTTCAATAGCTTTCCAGTGCTCTTTACTCGGTCTACTCGTAAACCTGCATAACAATCCTACGACATATGCAATGTCGGGTCTAGTACAATCAGTGGCACACCTAAGACTGCCAATGATGCTCGCATACTCTGATTGTCTGACACTTTCTCCAGTGTTCTTAAATAGTTTCACACTTGGATCATATGGTGTGCATGTAGGTTTACATTCAAAGTAATTATATTTCTTTAAGATCTTCTCCACATAATGTGATTGATCCAAAGAAATTCCTTGTTCGGATCTCGTGATCTTGATGCCAAGGATCACATTTGCTTCTCCGAGATCTTTCATATCAAAGTTGTTGCACAACAATGATTTCACATCATTAATGGTCTGAATGTTAGATCCAAATATGAGTAGATCGTCAACATAAAGACATATGATAGTGCAAATGCGATTCTCAGATTTATAGTAAACGCATTTGTCACTTTCATTCACTTTGTACCCACTTGATATCATTAAGTTATCAAATTTTTCATGCCATTGCTTAGGAGCTTGTTTTAGTCCATACAACGACTTATTTAACTTACAGACCTTTTTTTCTTGTCCATAGATTACAAACCCTTCTGGTTGTTCCATATAGATTTCTTCTTCTAAGTCACCATTTAAAAAAGCTGTTTTTACATCCATTTGGTGTACTATTAAGTTATAAATAGCAGCTATTGAAATAAGTACCCTAATGGATGTAATTCTAGTGACAGGAGAAAAGGTGTCGAAGAAATCTATATTTTCTCTTTGTCTAAAACCCTTGGCAACAAGGCGAGCCTTGTATTTATCAATAGTTCCACCAGGTTTTAGTTTTCTTTTCAAAACCCATTTATAACCAATTGGTTTGCAACCAGGAGGCAAGTCTACTAAGTTCCAGGTCTTATTGGATTCTAGAGATTTTATCTCATCATTGATAGCCTCTTGCCACAAATCAGCATCCAGAGAGGACAAGGCTTCTTGAAGATTCATTGGATCTTCTTCTACATTATAAGCCGCATAGTCAGGCCCATAGTCTTTAGAGACTCTTACTCGTTTACTTCGTCGAAGTTCTGTTTCTATATTGTCGTTGCATTTTGTGTTTCTTATCACAGGAGTGTGACTCGATTGTGTGCCCCCACTATTTCTCAATTTGAAGGGAAATTTGTCTTCATAGAATTCAACATCATTTGATTCTATGATCACTTTTGCTATTAGGTCATAAAACCTATATGCTTTACTGTTTGCTGCATATCCAATGAAAACACATTCATATGCTCTACTAGCGAGTTTAACTTGCTTCGGATCCGGAATTCTGACATAAGCCAGAGAGCCCCAAGTTCTCAAATAAGACAAGTTTGGTTGTCTTTTCTTTAATATCTCGTAAGGAGAGATCTTACATTTTGACTTGGGGATTCTATTCAGGACATAGCAAACAGTCAACAAAATTTCCCCCCACCAGTGAGGTGCAGCACCAGAATTCATCATAATTGCAACAACAAGTTCAGTAAGAGTTCTATTTTTTCTTTCTGCTTTACCATTCATTTCAGGAGAATATAGAGCAGTCGTTTCATGTATAATTCCATGTTCTTTATAAAAGTCCTTAAATAGACCATAGTCATATTCAGTTCCCCTATCACTACGAAGTCTCTTGATCTTCTTACTAAGTTGATTCTCAATTTCGGTTACATACAACTTAAACATATCAAGTGCTTCACTTTTACTCTTCATTAAGTATACATAAGTATAATCAGAACAATCATCAATAAAGATGATAAAATAACGTTTACTGTTCCTAGTCAAAGTTCCATCTAATTCACATATATCAGAGTGTATAAGATCTAGGGGATCAGATTCTCTTAGAATTGATTTATGCGATGTCTTAATTATCTTAGCTTGAGTACAATATTCACATTTATTTGAATCATTGACATTTAGTTTAGGGATCAGGCCTAAGTTGCTTGCATTATACATAATTTGCTTATTAACGTGACAAAGTCTAGCATGCCAAATATTAAAATCACGCAGAAAATAAACAGAAGGACAAATTTTATTCAAATCAACATTTAACTTAAACATGCCATCAGTGGCATACCCTTTACCAACAAAAATACCATTCTTAGTGATGGTGTACAAATATGCCCCTATAGTTTGACTAAACCCAACCTTATTTAAAAGGAAATCAGAAATAAGATTCTTCCTAATTTCAGGAACGTGCATGACGTCCTTCAAGATCAAGGTCTTTCCTGAAGTGAACTTCAGCTCAACATCTCCAATTCCAGCAACATTAGTGGTGTGGGCATCTCCCAACAACACTTTCTTATCTTCAGTATTCATGTATGTCTTAAACATAGCACGATCATT